CTCTTCTACCGCGAGAGTCGCTTCAGAAGATAAAATCGGACCAATAGGGAATATGGGGATATAATAGGCATGTGCGACCGAACACGTTCTCGATATACTTTGTAAAAAATATATAGACACACAGATACGCTATATATGGATATGCCAGTGGGGACTCACGGAGACGTCAAAACGAGATATTGAGATGTAATGATATATATATTTCTGCAACTTGAACAAAATTGTTTCGTACATTATTCTGTATTTTTTTATTAGAAAATTTAAAGATTTTCTAAAGAGTAGAAAAAATATTTTTAGTTTTGAAATATGTGACTTTTACACCCAAGGGGCCTAACAAGGACAAAAAAATATCAATTTTTACTTTTTCCTTCACAATATTACTTCGTGATTTTGTATTTTTTAAATCTGATGTCAAATTTGTATTCAGCGACCCCGAAAACCCCCGAGTAAGTTTCAAGCGATTTGTGTCAATTTTTAAATAAGTCCGCCATATTGGATCCGCCATTTTGAATTTTGGAAATCTGATAGCAAATTCGTAATCAGCGACCTCGAAAACCCGTAGTAGTGAGTTTCAAGCTAATTGTGTCGATTTTTATAAAATCTTCCGCCATATTGAATCCGCCATTTTGAATTTTCAAAATCTGGTACCAGATCCGTAATCAGCGACCTCAAAAACCCCTGAGTAATAAGTTTTGAGTGAATTGCGTCAATTACAAAAAAATCCGCCATATTGGATCCGCCATTTTGAATTTTGGAAACCTGATTGCAGATTCCTAATTAGCGTTTGTAATTTATTTATAAAAGCAATGGATTCGCTTTGAAAATCGTTACTCAAGAATTTTTGGCATCGTTGATTACGAATCTGAAATCAGATTTTCAAAATCCAAAATGACTGAATCAATATGGCGGAATTTTTTTTCAAAATTTACAAAATTCATAACTTTGGATGTGTTAGTTATCTGTTTCGTTAATTTTTTTTTTCCTTTTTTTTGTCGTATAATGATGATGCGATTCATAATCTGATTCAAAATCAGAGAGGCAACTGATTTTGAATGACATTTAAAGTGCTTTTAATTCTATAGTTAATTCTTCTATATTAGTATTTCCTCTTCTTTCTTTTTAATATTCATTTACTATCGTTACTTTTGCCATAAGTCTATTCGTAGAACGCACTCTCGTTCTCTTTCGCAGAGTCAAAGGTGTGATCTCGTAATTATAATGTTGAGTCGGTTGTGAAGTGACGTGATGATTACTGCGTTACCGCCCTTCCTGAAGTCTTATGATTCTTATATATACTATATACTCGCATCGTCTATTTTCCTTTGTTTATTATCATAATCCTCATGAATAAAACTCGATTATCGTCTCATTTAACAACAGAATTACTCGTCAGTTTACACGCTTTAATATCTGACAGTTACCCTCGTTAAACGACTCAATTGTTTAATTATTCTTTTTTAAACTTATATGTTTGTTCCATTTATAGGTTATATTTAAATATAATAAAAATTTTTTCGAAAAGACGAAAAAGAAATTTTTATTCTTGACCAATAAAATGATTAGAATTTTAATTTTTTTAGCAACTATCAGAATGCTGCGTCATACAAAACTAAAAGACCGTAACATATGTAGGGTATTTTTAAAACAATTGTAGTTTCTTTATTCCTTGAGTGTTTGAAAGGGACAATTTAGAAATTAGTGAACAAAGTCGAATTAGTGTGTTAATGGAAATGTGGTGTTAGCAGCTGAAAGTGTACATATACAGGGTCTTAAAAAAGTATAAAGGAGGGGTTGAAAGGTGGAACCAACAAATAATGAAGAAGCTTAATTCATATTCCCAGGGAATTGCAAAGTGTATTCGGATTGGTTGTTTCACCGGATGTGACCGACCCTCATTCTCTCTTATGGTTTGTGGGCGAGTCGAATATTATTATTCTTAATTTGTGCGTCATGTGCGAATTACTAGGGGGGCGAAGGTGTGTACACACGCCGTTGAACGCCCTTTTTCTTATATTCCGCCCTATCTGGCACACGTATATATATATATAACTTTTAGCAAACATGGCCGACGTAATTATTTATCCCTCACTTTCTTCTCTCGCTATCGCTTATGAAATTTTGATGCGTATAATGACATAATGGACGTGCCTTTTTTTTGCGATGTTATCGCATATTTATATCAAAACCGTGGGATTTGTTTACAAAACCGATCATTTAGAGCATTTTCATTTTAGATGAAAGAAAGATCTTGGTATCGGACAAATTATACTCTGGGGATCATATATGGAAATAATAATTATATATCAATTCGATTTCTACAGAATATATGTAATAATTCTGTCCGATCTGTATATTATAATGTCTAATGGAAATAACATTTGCTTCGATAAACCTTTTACAATATTGCGCTTGATAATGAGAATTTTGCAATAATATAGTAAACAAGATGCTAATGTGATTTGAAATTACTTTGAAATTTACATTCCGTATATGAGTAGTTGGGTTTCTAGTTTTTGCAGAAAGGCTTATATATCATATATATATATATATATATATATATATATATATATATATATATATATATTCTGCTTGACTTGATTAATTGTAATTGCAGTAATTAGAGTTTGCTTTAATAGACTATATATATGTAGCAAATTACATATCAAGCAGTAAAAGTTAATGAATCCATTTACAATTATTAAGGGAATTTAAGATGATATTATCAGAAATTGCAACTGCTTTGTAATGAATCTAAAATGACAAAATCAATAGGACTTTTCTGTTGCGCTTTGCATTATAATTGAAATTTTTTTTTTCAATTTAGATATATTTTTTTAACTAGATTTTTAACGCTTTTTTTCTTTAAAAATTTTTTTGGTGTCTATAATTTAATTCTTTTTATTAAATAAAGATAAACGCGCACGTTTATATATATCATATGGGCGCGCAGGTGCAAAAAAAAGAAGCGATCGTAACTTTTTTTTAAGAGTGATTATGACGTATGGGATGTAACAACCTGTTACGTTAATATATACGCGGTTACCCTTGTACAGGTGCCTTGGGATTTTTTTTTAAGGTACCTATCACAATGGACCGTTTACCTCTCTCGTGGCACTTCTCGATGGCATTGACCGACACGGAACCCACTAAAAGATTCATATGTGTGTTTAGCTAAACACGATGCAAATAATACTTCGAAAGGATTTTTTTCTGTTATGATTTCTTTGGCGGCAAAGAGTGCATATTTGAATCTCAATTATCATAAGCAAACAGAGTATATATATTTGAGTAAATTTTGAAATATATTTTATTGGCTATGAAGCAGAGACAGAAAAGAAATAAAAGGGAAAAAAGAAAATAAAGAAAACAAATGATAAAGAAAAGAAAAAAAAGATGATAAATACTTTGCAGAAAGATGAGAAGAAAGTTAAAATGACTCTAGAATTTACTACTGAGTGGCTATATAAAAAAGTGATATTTAAAAGTTTAAAGAGAAGTTATAAAATTTGATCCTTAGAAGAGATTATAATGCTTTTTAGTGTGTGAGATAGTAGTAGCGCGTTTATAACAAAAAGATTTATCGTTGGAAACTGCAAATGTCTGGTGCGCGCTTTAAAAGGGCAATAAACAAGTTGTAATGCAATAATTGTAGTTAGCGGTTATTGATCCCAACACTTGTATGTATAAACGTGTATAATAATGCCGGTTATAAACCCTCTCCCCCAAAAAAAGATAAAAAGTCTAAAGCAATTATTAACTTTCGGTGAAGGAAGCTTAGAATAAAACCTCAAAAAATACGATTCATTGAAAAAAAGGGGATATTAAAATTTGTCTTTAAAAGTATATTTCTTCATTATTTTCAGTCGAAATAAAACGGAATAATTAAGAGATAATTAGTTGAAATTAATTTTTTGATTCTAATGGTATATAATAAAATTAGGAATGGTGTACAATAAAAGGTATATAATATTTCATACAGTATAATTAGGTATTATGATATAATAATCCTTTTTATTAATGACAATCATTAACAATTTTTAATGATTCAATTTTGAAAGATTTCTTAATAGGCCTCTTGTAATATATATATATATATATATATACAAATAGAAATAGGGCATGTAATTGTGATTAGTTTTTTTGGAAGCTTGTCAAATTTGTTATGCTTATTATTATACTGGTGATGAAAGGGTCTTGATGTTGAAAAATGTGTGAGAGCTCGCGCGCGTTGTAAATTGCTGTTTGACATAGGTGTCAAAAATTTATCTTGTTTTATATGAGTTTGAAACTCGATTTTGTGAGAGGGGAAAAAGGATGAGATATATCAAGAAAAAAGAAGAGGTGAAAAATAAAAATAAAAAGAGGAAATAAAGAAGAAGAAGGAAAAAAAAGAAGGAGAAGAAGTCGTGTTATAAATGTCGGCTGTCTTAAAGTGGTTGGAGTGTCATCGAGATACATCATGTTTGGTAGATTGGTATGTTCTACATATATTCTTCTATATGGGCCTATCGCACATTTTGCATCGCCAACGCCTTATATTGGCATCGAATAATACTTCAATGACGTTTTACCCTCGCGGCCAATGAATTCCACTGTCTTATTTTCTCGCTTCGTGAAAGTCAATCCTTCAGTGTAGAGGAGCACCGGTATCGCCATCGGATACGCAGTCAACATAAACGCAGATGATTATTCACTTTATCCTAGCTCTCGAGAGCTTAGTCATTCTCTCTTAGTATGAGTGCATGTATCATACCAACCGTAAACTTAATGTTTGCGTGTACTGCAACTCAAATTCACATCTCGTATACTCTCGATAAGAAATTGATCAGATTTATTGCTTAGGAAACTTGGTTTGTTTTTAGTTTAGTAATTGCAAGAAAAAGGTAGTTTAAAAATAAAAAAAAATATAGATTTTAACAAAATGGGAGTAAAATTTTTCGAAGTTAAGAAGGCAAAATTGTTACAATCTTTTTTATGGATTATTAATTTTGATAACTTACCTAGTGTACCGTCTAGAGAAAAGGAATGCCTATCGTTTCTTAATGCCCAGGAGCAAAGGTCACATGTTGTTAGTCCATCTGTTGCGATACCCTCCTCTGGTAGATAAGGCGGTCTGGGTGGAGGTGGTACAAAACTTCCTATCACAGCCCATAATGAATCTACGTCATTACTATTCCCTGTATAATACAACAACTCCTCCTCAGCAACACCGGCAAACCAGTCCATGTCGTTTACACTTGGATTTACACTATTTGTACTTGTCGCACTTGCACTGCTCACTGTCACCTGTAACAACAAAAATTTATGATTAGCATATGGAATTAATTTTCAAAATCGTTTAAAGAAATCATTGCTTTTGTATACTTATATATATATATACCTGATAATTAAATATTATCAGGTTCTAAAAAAATTTATTAGAAAATATTTTATTTGAGTTTCGGTATAACTCTTTTACTCAATTAACACTTGAATAAGGTACGGTTTAGATGATAAAATATATATTTAGAGTCATAAACGGTTGAAACCTAAGCAAATAGTTAAAAGAAAATTCTAAGAGAAGCGGTTGTTTTTTGACTTTTAGACAAATGTGTTTGGTTTTCTTTTTTTTTTTTTGTTTGAAAATACATACCACCCAAGTTGAGTGGTTCTCTTAACGTTTTGATGGTTGTCCTCTAACTCGTAAGTTAAATAACTGATGAAATTTCAGCGACACTGCAAACACTTCTATTATAAAACGATTTAATTTCTTTTTTTTTTGAGAAATTCTTGTTCCCCTAAAATTTTCAAACAGTGACACGACACGTTTGCATTCATATTATAACAAGTGTATACATTTGTGATTCACTCGGTAGGGGATCTTTTGAAATTTTCGAGGTGGTGACGAGTTTACATCCAAAATGATGAGGCAGTTTTTCCTTTTTTTTTTTTTTTTGAAAATTTCGGCTAATCAAGATTAGGCTCGTCATCTTTAGAAACATGACTTTTTAATATAATCCCTCTTTCAAGTTGTATTCACAACAATGTTTCAGCTTTTTTCTAATATAGACATATACGGTTTTAAAAAATATCTTTTATATTTCAAATTAAAAATTCTTTTATATTACTATCGCATTTAGAGTGTGTGCTTTATTTATATGAGGTTGGCACGAATGGAGGCGATGATTTAAGGTAGCTGCTAAAGGTGGAAACTTATCGTTTATAATTCAACGTTTATATAGTACATCAGGAAATTCTCAGTAAGGATAAGAGAAAAAAAGCACACACGCAGTTAAGCTCATTCGTCATGTTTAACGTAAGACAGGAAAATCGGTGTATATCGAAAGTGCAATATCTTGAAATATATATATGTATGTGTGTGTACGGAAAAGATTGTGTCTAGGTGCACAGATATAAAAGTTAAAGTGGTCCAGACAACATATTATATACCTTTGAGAGTAGACTTCAACAGCGACCTGTTTGAAGATTCGTTACCATCTACTTAAGACAGTTATCGGCGTGAAACGCATTATTTATAACACCACCTTGTCCGTTCTGCCATTAGAGACTATAAAGTATCAAATACACATTGCTCATATACTGGCTGTCACGCGTGTGCGTGAAGAAGTATTGGGTCATACCATCAGTTATTGTGGATATTCGATTGCCTCGGAGGCATTTTTTTTAAAAAAAGAGAGATGCATTTAATGATCAAGTGTAGGAAATATACTTTCCGATGATGATATAGTATATATAACATATGAAGAAAGGTTCATCTTATTAAATCTTACATAATTCGAAAAATTAACTGTTACGTATATATGTATATAGAGAGAGGTATTAGAATCTTTTATTATTTTTTTTTGTGTCGCAACAATCTCAATTGTAATCCATTGTAATCTAAAAATTAAAAACGTATATCAAATTACATGGAGAAACATTTATCTGGAACGTTTCTCAGGAATAGCAAAAATTTTTTTATCTTTTTCTAATTGAGTAAAATCTTTTACTGTTCCAAATGTTTTTTTCCTGGATTATCAGAATGTAAAATATCTTGAATAATTTTCAATAGTGTATTTAAAATTTTCTTCAATTATATCCAAAGTATCATAAATTATCGCAAACTATATAATATAAAGTATTCTGAATAATTTGAAGTATTTTGTAGTTTGTAAAATATATTTAAAAATATTTTTAAATTAAAGTAGGTATGCACGAAAATTTTTTTGTTTTAAATTTTGTTCACCCCTCTTGTTCTTTTTTCTTTCTCTTCTCTTTTTCCAATTCGATAAATCAAAGTTGAATTAAGCAAAGTGTACGCGCGCACAGGAGAAATTTGTCGATATATATTTCTGGTTAAAGGAATGCCGATTGTCTCCTGGAATGTTTCTTCGATCTCCCTGAAAGTCAATTTGTAGCGAGCACTATAATTTAGCGAGGAAATCGAGAAGAGGTCTGGTTGAAACAACTTCGTAATTTGAAGCAGAAGTCTCTCCCCTCCCACCTCACTCTCTGAATACCAATATACAAAAAAAAAAAAAAAAAAAAAAAAAAAAAAACAGCGCAATTGAGAGTATTTTATTGAAATTTCCGGACATCCGTCCGGAACGAGCGTGAAAAAATTATTGCAAGTCGACGCAGGGATAATTTACATTTTTTTTTTGAAAAAAAATTTTTATTGTAAATTTTTAGAGTTTTTGTTTAAGAATTTTTTAAAGAAAAAAAAAAGGTAACAAAGAATGGGAAAGAAAATTAACTCATTGATCGGTTTAATTACCGTGATATCAGCGCAATTAAAGACCCGTTGTATTCAAAGATTCTTTGACATGAACGCGTGACACGAATTCGTGACTGGATCACAGCATCTTTCCTCTTATATATATACTCTTATAAGAGGGAGGAGAAGGAGGACTTTGCCTGTCATTCCCTTCAGGGTTTTACTATCTATGCCGCGCGCATGTATACACTTCCTTGATAGTCGGTCTTTGTCCACGTGTGTTGATCACTTGCCATACATATATATTGTCCCGATTATTTTTTCTCACCTATTATAAAGGTAATGAAAAATTTTCGGGATACAATGGGCGTATGTATGTGATGATTTTTTATATATATATATATTATATAAAGGGCGATGTCCGACAAGAATGGAAAATATCTTTATTTCTCATCTTTTTTTTTTTTTTTACATTATCATCCTACGTCTTCAATATTTTTTTTTATAGCTTTTCCAATCGTGAATAGAACTTGAAGAAAATATTAATTTCATTTCTCAAAAGAACAAGAGACAAATATGTAAATTACTTTTTTTGAATTGAGACGAGTCATTGTTAGGGGTGTATTTTGAAAAACTTTTGTTACGGAAGCAATTGTGATATATAATATGGTAATTAGAATTTAAATGATAATTGTCATTTTTATGATTATCATTTTTATAATTATTTTTAATAATATTATTATTTTAATAATTAATAAAAGTTAATTGATTAGTTGCTGAAATTAATTAATTTTGATAGAAAATAATTTGTTTACTTTGCACGGTGATTAATTTTGTATGTCATCAATCTATACTGAAGTTGGTTATGATAAATATGTCAGAAAGTATTTTAATAAATTTTCAGTTATAAACAAAAAAAAATTATTTGAAAAAAAAGGAATTTGATGGAAAAATTATATCCTCTGAAATATTGATCAAAGTGTATGAAAATTATATTTATTGTAAATGTAAATATAGAAGCATTTCGAAATAATAAGGAACAAAGTTAACCTTATTTTGAAAAAGTGGTTTTAAAAAAATTTTCAATTTTTTAATTCTTATTAAGTCAAGTAAGAAATTAAATTAATTATACGCTAACGTAAGAAATTAATTGAATAATGTGAATATATTTAAAATGTTTTAATTTAAAAATTAATAAATAATAAAATAATACAAAAATAATAATAATAAAAAATTATAATATTTACAAAAAAGGGGTGAATGTAAGAAAAATATTGGGGGCGTTTGTATTAGAAAAAAAAAAATTTTGCTTTTATATTTATATTTCGATTTAAAATAATTGGGGCACGCTATTATATTTGATTTGCAGCATCTGGTCAGCGCCTAATATAAAGTGCGGCTTACCCTTGTTTTCTCACGTTATTTTATTTTATTTTTTTTTATTTGGTTTTTTTTAAAACTTGGACAGATACGTGCCATTCGATACCTATTATATTCGACGATATCTTGCCAAGGAACCTTCTCTCTCTTTTTCTCGTTATAATTATTATACGTTTTGGCATTTACGAGCACCACCACTGAGTCTCGTTTATATTTAAAAAAAAAAAAAACACCATTGTATAGAGTAATATTCTGTGAGTCTATCAAACAAGCCAGCGGGCCAACCTATTATCTGTCTTTATAACTTTCAAAAAATATTAGCAAATTTTGACTTTAAAAAAATTATTAATGACAATAAATAGGCAACACAATATTATAATAATATAATAATAATATTTTAATATAATAATAATATTATAATATTATAATTATATTATAATTATGACAATATTATAAATATTATTATAGTTAATTGTTAATATTTTAAGATCGTTTTCTTAATTGGTGAAAAAAAATTAAATAATCAATTTCTTTGTTGGGGGTGTAAAAAGAATTTGAAAAAAACTTTTTTTAAAGTTTTTTTTTTTTAAAGATCTTGAATAGTTGAGAATGATTTGTGAGATACCTTTCAAAGGTTAAGTCAATATAGTCTCTGGGTTATTTTCAAGGGATGCTTGTAAATATACAATTTTTGACAACTCATAAATATTTTTTTTAATGATTGTCAAAAATTTGAAAAATTTGTTGATTAATGGTTTTTCTCATATGGACGCTATAAAAAGAAGTTGATAAATTAATTACTATACATAAATACGTGAATGATTTTTTAGTAAATTTTCGATTGAAATGATTGAAATTTATATAATATTATTGTATATTATATTTTTATTATATTTTATTATTATTATTTTTATTATTATTATTATTATTATTATTATTATTATATATAGTATAATAATTAATTAGAATACTAAAAGAATATTTAGTTAATTAATTTTTTTGTTTTCTTTATTACAGGTGAGTTTAAAAAACTTTTCAACGGTTTCTACAATATACGTGAGTCATAACTTTTATATTTTTCTTTTTTGAAGTGAATATTTTTTATTATACCTACATCTATTTTACAACTATTATATTTATTTTTCAAAATAAATATATTATAAATAAATAAAAAATAAATTTTTATATTTAAATATTTTAAATATTAAAAAAATATATTGAAAAAATTATTTAAAAATTAAAATGTAAATTAAATTGTATAATATATATTTCTTTTTTTATCTTGTTGCATTTGTAAAAATGTGTTGAAAGAGAGTGATTTTTCCACACTACTTTTTTAACACGCTTTTGCTCACTAAACTTCTCTTTTCGAGAGATCATGATATGAGAGTGAGAACTCGATTCTCTCATTCTCTTTTTTTATTTCATTTATTTTTTCTCTTTTTTCACCAGCAAATTCGCACTCAAGTGCTTTTGTCTGGAAATCACACGCGGTTCGTTCTCACGATAATGCATTTTTAGAACGACGGTCACTTTAATGTATATAAGTCCTTCGCACGGATGAATTCCACAGTGATTTCAAGTTAGTTGCGGCATCTCTTGCCTCTTTGCCCGAAAATTCCTTTCCCCGCGTCGTATTCGTCGTCGTCGTCGTCGTCGTTGTTGTTGTCTCGTAGAAAATTGGGTCTGCGGCTCCTTCGCGTCTCGAGAATTCGCGCCTTGCTCATCGTTGTCAGAGTGAGAGAGAGAGACCCGCCCTTAAAAGGGAGGGGGGGGGGAGAAACGCGTTTTGCTCGCAGTTATCTTATAAGCCGCAAGTGCCCCTAAGGCATTTGCAATTCTGACACATTAACCAACAACCGCAAAAGACAAAGGGAATACGATAGTCTAGTCTCGTTAGGAAACGTTCGTGTCTCTATATACTTATACAATTTCCGAGAAATTATTTTTGGTCTCTTCTAAAATGCAGTTTTTTTTTTTTTTGAACGTATGAATTTTCCATAAAAATTCGTGGTTAAAATTTTTATTTTAAGGAATTTTATTAGATTTGTTATTTTTTTAGACGAATTTTCATTTTTAAGAATTGACATTTTCTGACAAAATTAGATGTAATTGTTTTTTTGACGAATTTTCATTTTATGAATTAGAATTCCCTTCCAAAATTTTGCCAGGGCCCAGATCGGGGCAGGATCAGGCTGCCCTTGTAGGGTTGCCCTGATTTGGCCTTGATCAGTTGTGGCGTTTCATTCCCTACTAGGGCCCTGCTAGGGAAATTTCTACACGGGTTTTTTAGGCGAATTTTCATTTTACGAATTAGAATTCCCTATCCAAATTACTTTTCTTGCGCCGTTATTATTTATTTATGTTCCAAGGGCTTAAAGAAACAAAATTATTTACAAAAGAGGGGATATTTGATTAAAATATAAATATAGAAAAATGATTGCGGTTGATATATATATATGTATACAATTTATTTGATTTAAGTAAAAATTAATATTAATCAGGAATATATATTTTTGTGAAACAAAGTTAAATTGGCTTTTGGGGGCCTTATCCAAGAAAGTGACATTTGAGATGAAGAGGTAATGTTAATTTTCTTGAAGCTGGGTTGGTTCGCTTCTCTTTTGCGCATCTCGAAACTATATATATATATATAGAGGATGCTGGACTCTTGAGAGAAGTTGAAAAGAGAGGTGATTGCCACTGAATAATTCAGATTGTGGTATTTTCAAGACCAGAGGGCTTTCGTAATTTCTTCATTTCCACATACTCGGCTTATCGCCGTAGGAGGAGAGTAACAGAGAGAGGATTCCATTCCTCTCCTCCTCACTGTTATTTAGACCCCCGGGAGACATTTGAGAACGCACGCAAATTCGATTTGAGAATAAGAGAAGCTGAACCGATTTGGTTATGTCTCCACGATTCGCCTCTTTTATCGAGAGATGTGTCTTTGGTTGTCTTTCCATCTCTTGCGTTTGTCAATCGTTAAGAGAGAAAGAAAGAAAGAGAGAGAGAGAGAGAGAGATTCGTTTTTGGAGAAAGGTTATACGTTTGAGGGGATCGTTAAAGGATGGGTTTTGAGGGGCCTGGGCCGTATATAACGGATAATTGACAGCCATTCGGGCCGCCGTTTGCTTTGCATGGACATTGAATTCACATACGGAATTGGGAGAGGGATGAGTATAGAGAAATGGACAACGGCTCTCAAAAGGATGAACTCCCAAAGGCAAAAGAGTGAATCTCTTTTCGAGTCTCAGAGGCAAATGCGGCTCGTAAATTCTTCAATTTCGCTGTTTTAAAACCGAAAAAAAAGGGAAAAAAGAAAGAAGAGGAAACAGGAGTGAGGATTTGAGAACAATGCTTGAGGGTGCAAAAAGGAGAACGAGAATCCCTTGAATTCAATTTCAACAAGATCCGCCGGCATTTGACCCCCATCACTTGACATCATTTTACATATATATATATATATATACATATACTTGATGCCACAATGTTTCTTTCTCACGGGATTATGAAAATACCGTTTTTCTATTATTTTACATGTCTATCAAATTGATAGGCATAAAGTGTTTTTGATATCTTTGGGAATAGACATTAAACATGAACTTGACTTTTAACATTTATATAGCGATGACGACCTTCTTATCTGTGTTTGAAATTTATTTTGAGGTGCTCATATTGCAGGACTCTCGTCAACGAGTTACGTGTGAGAGCGAGGCTCGTAAATTCTTCAATTCTGCGCAGTAAAAAAAAAGGGGACCGGACGCCTGAGGGAAGAAGCGAGAACTTGCAGCTCGTTAGAACCTAATTGCGTGATGGAAAAGCACTCGACCTTCGTGACTGAAACGTGTATATATATATATATATATATATAGTAATGTACAGAAATCGTTTACATGATCATCATATCTGGAGTCGTATTCGCGTATAGATTGGAATATTGCTATGTAACTAGATGTGCTGGGTACATACTTTCATAAATGGTAGGTTCGGGCGTTGAATCTATACTTTAGAAGGGTTCGATATATTATACTGTATATATAAATTTATATGAAAAAAATTACCTACGGATCTTTTGGAGTATTGTACAGGATCATTGTCATCTGATAGCCACTAAGCTTATTAAGATTTGCTATACTTATATGATGCTATTGCTATCTTGTATGGTACTATTGCTGTCTTATATGGTACTTTTGCTATCTTATATGGTGTACTTTGGTATAGTCACGCAGTATTAAAAAATTACTCACTATATATCTTAAGGGTCAATTTCTCAGAGAGCACGATTTTATGTTTATACGGAATTGGATATTATGAAGCGAAATTTCGATTTATGAAATTAGAAGTTGAAGTTTAGAGATGCTAGTTAATTCGTAAAATTGGTAGTATGTATAGACATTTGGAGAAATATTCATTTACAAAATTGGAACATCTAAATGATAGGTTAGAGTATTGCTTTATGGAATTTAGAAATTGGTATTCACTGAAAGAAATTCGTCATTACTGACATAGTGCTGGCTGATTCTGTTTGGATCGTATTCCTAAATTATCATGAAACTACTGTTACTGCCATACCGTTTGGATTTTCCAAGCATATACGGATGACAGTACCAGAAGCAGAATGTGTGAATCAGCTAATTTAACCCTAAATCTGACTGATTGCATAACCAATTCAAAAATTCTCAACCAGAAGTTTGCAGAAATCTCGCAATCATTTATTTTCGTGTTTAGATTTGAAAAATAATCTGCAAAGATAGAATTCATTTTTATTTTGTTGTAAATGATATACAAATATAAATGTTTTCAAAATTAACTTGGGGCTTTTAACTAGGTGCCAGTTTCATGGTTTGATAATGATCGGTTTGTCTGTAATTGAAAATTGCTTAAGTGAAGCTAAAACAAAATTCCGGTTGGAATAATCAGAATTCTAGTTAACATTATGATAAAATTTAACATTTATGTTTGAATCTCGGTTAGAATTTAAAATTACGATTCTGGTATTAGATTAACCAGAATAGTAGAATTTAACTAGAATTTTGTTTCATTTCTAAAATGAGGTTTTACCAGATACAGTCAATTAATATCAACAGGAAATTATTTCTTATATGACCCAAATCATTAGGTATTTTTTGAAAAGAAAATGATAAAATGAACCCGAGAGAAAGAGAGAATCTGTGGTGTGTGTGACTTAATTTTGTTGGAGATAAAGCAACCCCCATTTGTATATATGCTCCTTCTTGTGGGAGAGAGCATATATACAGATTTGCATTCGTGTTCGCAAAGTACAGTTATGCGAATGGTAAGTGGACCACTCGCCACGCAGTTGGGAGTAAAAGAAATTCTCGGAATGACTTTGCCAAGTGCCGCCATTGATAACCCTTGCAATGTCCACCTAATGTACGCATTAATGTTGCATATTTCGCATATGTACATCGTGTTTACAGGACGATTTGAATTCTAAATCGTTATATTTAAAAATTCAATTAATGAAATGATTTTAACTGTATATAGGGTAAAATAAAATTTATATTTTTAATAAATTTATTTACAGAAGTTTATTATAGGAAAAGATTAAAATTTTAGTGATTTTAGAACGATAAAAGGGATGCGCAAATCTGATTGCAGATGAGTTGAGATTGTATCAAATTGGGCGTGGTAATAGCCTTATGGAGAAGATAATCGTTTGTGCGCCTTCGGGTTTTTGTTGCTGAACGTAAGAAAGATGATAAATTTTGATAAAACTTTCAGCGACATAGTTTTCTTTATATGAGAGGGTTCATGAGTGTGCATTTGTTTAATAGAAGAGGGAGGACACACGCTGAACTGGCGCCGCTATCATTCCAACTATAATCGGGTATAGTCATCATAAATATCTCTATCTTTTAAAAAGACAGGTGAGGGTTGTAGAGAAGTTATATAGAATTGTAAAAACTGACGATGATCGACGACATTTTTAAACTGATGTGTTACTTGTAAAAAGATTCTTGAATACTCCTTCTTTCTCTCTCTCGGTAGGAGCCAAAGAGGTATATATAATCGATCGTGATTTAAGACAA